TTATTATATAAATATTTATTGTTTTACTATTTATTGTTTTTCTTTATAAAAATGAATGGAGTATAGTATTAGGTGATAAAAAAAATCATGAAATAAAATTCCATCCTAATTAAATTTTATATTTCACCATTTTTGCTATTTTAAATATGCCTTTAAATTATAAAAAAATGATATAAATATCTAAAATAATATTATTAACTTAAAAGAATTAATTAATTATAATATCTTTAATAATATTACCTATAATATATAAATATACGTAAATATATATAAATATATATTAATATATAATTTTATTTACATATTTTTTTTTTTATATATTTTTAATTTTTTTAATTATTAATTTATATTTTCTTTGTTTTCTTTTTTTTTTATGATTTTTTTTTATTCTTTAATTCATATTCAATAAAATAATTTTTTTATTTTAATTTTTATTATATATATAATATTAATAAATAATAGTTATGCTCATCCTTTTATTTTATCTGATAATAGACACTATATATTTTATATATGGAAGAATTTTTTCAAAAAATATTAATATTTTTAATATTTTATGATTCCTTTATATAGTTTTTCGTTTATTTTTATAATATACCTATTTTAAAAAGGATTTTCTTTGTTCAAAATTAGTATTCTCTTTATTTTTTCTTGTTTAATTTTATTTCCTGCTGGACTTATTGAATTTAGGTATTATAGTATTAATGTTTTTTTTTAGTCTTTGAATTAAGCAAAGATGAAAATGAATATATTATAGATATTAACAAATAAAATATATAGATAAATATATTAGTATAAATAATTGTTAATATAGCTTTATTTTATATTTTTATCTGGAGAACATTTGTATATGAAAAAGATTAAATTGGAAGATTTATGTTTTGAAAAATATAATCTGTGTATTTTTTTAAATTTATAAAGAATATAATTTTTTTTTTATAAAAATAAAAAAAAAGCTTATGTTCATTTTATATATAATAAAATTCAAAATTTAAAATATTAATTAATATAATTATTTTATAACTAATTAACAAAATATAAATAACATTAAAAAAATTATCAAAAATTATTTATTTGGGATATTTCTATAATTTCATAACTATAAATAGTTGCTTGCTCAAGTTATTATTATTTTCAATTATTTATTCATAGTTTTATAATAATTAATTTAAAGAAATTGTTATATTTTAAATAGTACTTTAATATTATAAGTTTTATAAAGGAACATATCTTTGATTTTTACTATTTTAATTACCTTTCTATTTTTTTAAACTATTTCTTTTAAAAAAATAACAATTTCTAAATTCATTAAATTATATTGTAGTGGATATTAAAAAAAATCCTAATTATAAATCACAATAATTACAATGTAAATCTTAATAAGCACAATTTATAAAAGGTTTGCTTAAAAAAATTTTAAATTCTTTTTTTAATATTTTTTGATCCAAATATTTATTTATTTCAATATTTTCTTTTATAAGAATATATTATTCTTTTTATTCAAATAATTCGACATATTATATTTATTAATTTTTTTATATTAAAATATCAGTATTTTTGTTAGAACTATATTTACATTTACAGGATAAATTAAACATTAAATAAAAATAGAGAAAATAAATATTTTTTAAAATAATAATAAAATAAAACAATAAAAATATAAATAAATATATATAAATATATATATATATATATATATATATATACATATTTATATATTTTTATTTTCATTATTTCCAATCTAATTTTGTAATTATATATTTTTTAGCTATATTATTTTTTTATTAAACTAAATTATTATTAGAATTTTCTTTTTTATTTTAAAGTATTGCTTTTCTCTTTTATATTATTTAATTTTCATTTTTCGCATACATTCTATCTTATTAACTGTTTAAAAAATATTAAATTTTAGTTCTTTTTCCAATATTTTTGATTTAAAGTATATTTTTGTTTAAAAAAGTTACTATTTTTGAAAAATATTCAATTTCAAATCCTATTTCAGTAATAAAAGAGTTTAAAATTTTCATTAAAAAAATAAAAATATCCTATTCTTGATTATCTTCTTAATCTTCTTCAGAATAATTATTTAAGTTATTTTCTAGCAAACATTATAAAGTTATAAAAAAGTTTTTTTGAATAACTAAAGTTTTAAAGCTTTCTAAAAAACCGCCTTCTATTACACACTAAATGTTTTTTGAGAACGAAATTAATGTTTCTTTGACAATTTAAAAGTTCTAATTGTTAAAATAAAGCACTTCGCATGATAAATCAAAGTAAATGAGCTATGTTTTTTAAATATTTTATGTATTTTTGGAATTTTAGATGTAGTGTAATACTTAAGTAACTGTTTATAATGCTAAAATAAAAACAGATTAAGGTATTTTTTATTTTTATGTATTGATTATATTAATAAATTGTATAAAATATGTAATATTAGTTAAATTTTCGGTCATAAAATTATTAATAATCATAGTATAGACTATTAGTATATTCTAAAAATGTATATTTAAAGAAAATAGTTAATTTAGGTTTTAAAGGAAAAGATCAGAGAATAAATTGGTTGAATTTTACTTTATTAAATGCTCTATTATTTTAAAAAAAGAATAGGAAATATTTTCTTTTAAATTAATTTCTTTTTCTTTATTATTTTATTAGATTTAAGCTTTATTTTTTAATATATAGGAAATTATTTATTCTAATGTTAACATTTTTAAATTATCTTAAGAAATAATTATTAAAAATTTTTCATATTTTTATTAATCATTTTCATTATGATTTATTTCATATACTAATTATTTTAAATGAATTTCTAAAGTTTCAATAAAAATATTGTTTTTGGAAAGTTCAATCATTTCAGGTCTTATTTATATAGAAATGTCAAAAAATATCTTAAAAGCATAATTAGTTATTTCTAAATTATCTGAATATATATATAAAAAAGATAGGGATATTTTCAAAGCCAAAGGCGCTATTAATTAATAAAGAGAAAACTAAGAATAAATAAATAATTCATGAAGTTCTTTTAATATCATTATTATTTAATTCTCACTAGATGAATTTAGAAGTAATATAGCCATTTCATCAAATGTGTTTTTACGAAAATCTAAATTCAATTGTTATTATTAATTTTATTTGTTTATTTAGTTGGGAAATTTAAATTTAAATTCTCGTTTTGAAATAACTAATTATTTTTTTAAATAAATTTTGTAAAAATAAATAAAAATATAAAAATTATATATATATTAATATATATAATTAATTTATATATATATATTTATAAATAAATTTTTAAAATAGAAAAATAAAATAAATTATATATTAATTAATTAATAATTATAATAATTATATTTTATAATAATGTTTTAGTTAATATTTATAAATATTAATTAATTTTATTATATGATTTTATATTAATATCTATAAATATTTAATATTAAATTAATATTTTTTTTTAATTTTTATTTATTTTAAAAATATATCATATTAATTTTATATTTATTTAAATATTTTTTTTATTTAATTTTTTAATATTTTTTTTTTAAATTTTTTTAAAAAAATATTATATAAAATATATATATAATATTTTTTTTTTTTTTATTATATATTAGTTTTATATAAAAATATATTTTATTTTTATATTTGGTTTTTTTTTATATTTTTTTTTTTATTTATATTTTTTATATTAATTATATATTTTATATATATATAGTTTTTTTTTAATTTTTTTTTTTTAAAATTAATTATATTATTTTTTTATAATTATATTTAATTCAATTTTAATTTAGTATTAATTATATATATATATATATATATGTAATTTTTATATTTTTATTACATATTTATATTTATATTTTTATTTATTTTTTTATATAAAATACTATTTATAAAAATCTATCATTTTTAATATATTTTTATAATTCTTATTATTTTATTTAAATATAATATTAATTTATTTTAATTTTTTTTTAATATATATATTTTTATATTTGAGTAATTTTTATTTTATTTATTATTATTATTTTTTTTATTTTTTTTTATTTTTTTTTATTTTTTTTTATTTTTTTTCCCCAACTTATATATATATATATATATATATATTTATATATGTTTACTTTATGTCTATAGATATGATTATTTATTAAAATAATTTTCATTGGTAGTTTAATTTAATTGCATTTTATTTTAAATATCTGTTTCTTTTTCTGCAAAAGTTCTTATTGGAAATACTTTTTCAGCTAAGTTTTATATTTATCCATTTAAAGTAATCATAAAAGAGTAAAAGATACAACTATATTTTATATATTTGATTCTTTTTTATATATTACATCAAATTTTTAATTAAATTCTATTTTTATTATTTCTGGTAAAATATTTTAATTTTCTCAGAACAAAATTCACTTACAATTTAATTCGAAAAATCTTCTTTATATAATATCGTTTTCGCTTAAAAATAAATATAAATTTCCTCGTTTTCCTATATTTATTTTAATTCGAAATCTTCCAAAGATTAAACACAAATGAAGATTTTCATCCAATTAATTTCTTGGAATTATATATGACCTAAAAGTCCTATATTTTCTCTATTTATATTACCTAAAAACTATTTTAATATATCATTTTGGACATAGATAGATGGATAAAATTATATAAAAAATGGTAAAAATGTATCCTTTTATTAAAAAGGTAAAAGACTATCAAAAAAGAAAAATTTAGACTAACAAATAATAATCTAATTATTATTATTATTATTATTTTATTTAAAAATCAACTCGAATTTACATTTATCATAAAAATGATAGACTAAGAAATCCATAAATTAAATTATTCATTATCCCCTTTCACAATTCCAAACTGGTCGATAATATTGGAATATTTGGTTTAATATTTACTCTTATTTTTAATATTAATTATACATTTTCTAATTCCAAAAATCCTTTTTTTTTTAATAATAAGGGCTTTGTCTATTCATTGCTTTTTTCTTCAATAATTATTAGTCTGTGTAATTTTAATGTAATTTTACCTAAAAAAGACTCCTAAAAAGACTGATTAGATAAACTTAGATTACAAAATAATTTCTAATTTGCTGGCTTTGTTAAAATTATTAAATTTTATGTTTTTTATATATTTTATTATTATATGTAGGGTAGTTCGGCTGTTTCTGTTATTTTTTAATTATTTTTGTTCATATATGTAAATTAAACAACTGTTTTGGGAGATAGAAGGTCTAATGGGATGTATATGGATAAAGGTTCGTTTAAATAGAGTTCGTTTTCGTTGATTATTTTGTACTCTTTTTTCGTAAATTTAGTGTTTATGTATTATTTAGTAGAAGGTAGGTATAAAGAAATTTTAAAGGAAGATTTCTGCTTAAAATTAGATGATAACAAAAAAGAAAGTCCTTTTTTAAATTCAAATTTAACCATTTGTTTAAATATAGAAAGGTCTTTTGGTTCCAAGTTTATTTAATTTTGGTTCTAGAATTGGCTTTTGATATATGTTAAGGGGATTTCGGGGGAGAATTAAGTTAATAATTTAGTCGAGAAGGAGATCGGGGAATTATTTTGGTCAATATAGGTAATTTCTGAAAGGGAAAAGGACTAAAAGATATCAATATTATTTTATATTTAATTTGTTTTTGTTTATAAAGCTTACTCTTAATTTTACTGGAAAAAGACTTTTTTGGAAATATTTGTTATATTGTAATTTAAAAGGAGAGAAAAAGAAGGTTAAGATATTTCATTTTAAAAATTGAGTATTTATGAATTTATTTTGAGTATATTTTTGGTGTGTTTTTTTTTTTTTTATAGTATTATTTTTTATAAAGGTATAGTTTGGAATGAAATCAGAGTATTTTTTAGGTAAAAAAGGACACAAAAAAAGTAAAAAAAAGGCTATTTTTATGGAATTTAAATAGAGAGAATAAACGGCGTTTTTTAAAGGGAAATTTTTTGTGAATTTTCAATTTGAAACTCATTCAAAAAAACCTGTTTATTTTTATATGAATTTTCTTCGGGTTTTTTAGTCAATTTTATTTTCGAGAATATCTCTTCGCATTCAGTATTTGATAAAATTTTAAATTCGAAAAAAAAAAATTCACTTTTTTAGAAAAAATCAATATTTTCGACTATTATATTACTTATATTGAGTTAAAAAAGGGTTTCTTCTTGTGTATTTTTTAGTCGACTTTTTTCATAAAGGTCTAATTTGTAGTTTAGTATATAATTTTAGGTTACATTTTTTGTATTCTCAAGTGCCTATATGATTTAAAGCTGATTTATATCCTAATCGAATATTTTTAATTAATAATTATCTAGTTTAGTTATTTATTATTATTATTATTTTAGCATTTCATTTATTTCATTGTATTATTTAAGAACAGTGAGTTTAATTTCAGTGTTATTTTCTAAAAGAAAAGTATCGAAAAAAAATGCTTTTTAATCTTTGAAATATTTTGTAGTTGAACAATGTTAAAAATCTTTGATTTAATTAGAAAACTATAATTCTTTTAAACATATTTATTAGGAAAAACAACTTTTTTCATTATTTATTTATTATTATTTTATATTATTTATTCTTATTTTTATTATTTTTTCAACTTTTTCATCTATTTATATGTTATTTTCTTCTATTTATTATATGTTTTCTTCTTCTTAAAATTCAAGTATTTTCGGCTAATAGAGTTATAAATTTAATTTAAAAATTAAAGAATAATCTTCTTTATTTTATGGAAAATATTATGAATTTTAACTATCTAAAGATATAGAAAATGCTAATTATTTATTATTATTAAAAAAATAAGGATAAAGATCATAAAAAAAGAGATGCTTTTTAAATAAAAGTATAGTATTTTATTCATTTATATCTTCTAAATTTAAAACACTCCTATCTTTAATTTACATAAACTATATTTCTAGAAAATCATCATGTTTTATTTATTAAAAAATAGTATTTTATTAACTATTATTCACTATTTTAGCCATTTTGACATTATTTTAATTCATATTAGAATCTTCAAATCTCATATATTTAACTAAACTAGGACATAATAGTTGTTTTTCTAATAAAAAAACATTCTAGACATCTTCTAGGGACTTAATTTCGGCAAAAAAAGTATAAAAATGTGCATTTTTTTGACCTATTTTTATGACATATTTTTGTGTATTTTTTAAAAGTTGATTTTAGTTTTCATTTTCGTTTTCATATTCGAATTTGCAAATTTAAATTGGTAAAAAATTCCAGAAGAAGATTTTATCTTTTTCGAAATTAAAAATATTAATTTTTAATAAAATTTTAATCCAAAAATTTTAATTTTAAGCCGATACTTATAAACAGTCTAAAAAAATTAAATTTTCGCAAAAATTTCTAAACTGGAATTTTTTGCTATTAAAAACACCAGAAAAATAAGTGTTTTTCTACTCTATACTTAACTCTATGAAAATATCGCAATCTTCCTCTTATTATATTATTAAAAAATCCTCCATATATATATTATTTAACATCCCTGTATTATCTATTTTCTATTTTAACCCTTAATATTTCTTCTATAGGCTTCTTATTTTTATTTATACCTCCATATTGGCAAAAGAAACTGGAAAACTGGCATTTAGAGTACTTATTTTCAACATTTTTCCCATTTCTGGCATTATGGGATTTCCTATGGGAATTTTTTATAAAGCAGAGTGTTCATTATGGGGCATATATTCGATATATATGGAAATTATTCCATTAATTTTATTATTTAATTTATTTGTGTCAATGTCTATAATCGAGGATTTTTTGAGATCGGGGAAGGCTAGTATCGAAAGAGGTAGGTTTTTTTAAAAAAGAAGTGTTTTTTCAGAATAAAATTAAAAAATAAGGACATCGTGAATATTTTCTGTATTAAAAATAATTTTTTGCTTAAATAAGAAATCGTTTGAGT